AGTTTAATTTTGCCAAATGTTCACCCCTTTTTATTATTATTATTTGGAATGTTATACATTTTATCTACTGTATTTCATTTTATCATTACGTTCCCTGAGAATGTCTGAAATAATGAAATCCACTGCAAACACACAAACAAAAGAAACAAATTCATTAGAGGCAATTAAATGTTCATTAGGAAAAAGAAAGGTTTGAATGTGTTGCAAACTTTGCATTAAAACATTTCATACTTTCAAAAAATAAAACAGCTGATATAGTTTCTACTCTAACAGCTAAACACGATACTAACTGTTGAGAATCACGTGAAATAACACTCACAAACAGCATTACTTTTGACAGACAGAAAATCTACACACATTTCCATTCATTTCTTTGGAATCATTCAAAGAGACAAGTTTTTCCCCACATTGATTTGATTATTCACTATGGCGTCGTCTCTTTCAGATGATGGGTAAGAATGAGATGATCTGTGATCTGATGATAGAGATATTATAACTCCTCTCATCTTCTCTTTTCTTTGGAAGTTGTTTCAGTTGCTGCTTCCATTGCAGATTTGCAATTCCCTAAAATATCAGTTTAATCTGAGTTTAATGTGAGAGGAAAAATACAGGCTTTTGTACTGATCTTCATAAAATTTGTAAAAAAACAACAACAAAAAAAAAACTATTAAAACATGGATTGTAAGCATACTGTAGAACTGATTAGATATACTGCACAAAAATCTGGTTGTGAAACTATTTTCTCTCAGAAATGGCTAGGAAATTGCACAAATAATTACATACTGAACACACTGAATTATCCCTACTATTGCAACTATTGTTGTGCTAAAACGTTTGTACTGTATTGGAGGATTGCATCAATCCACCCAAGATTAAACATAAAGAGTTCAAAGGAAATAATAATAATAATAATATAACTACACTAGTCTATTTATAATATAATAAAGCTTGGTTGATATTTGCTAGAAAATACATTGCAGATCCCATCATCCTGAGCAATTGTCAATGAAAACACAAGTCTCCATGCAAATAATTCCTTTCTTTGATTTTTCAGTATTGACATGCATCATTAGCTTAACAAATTCATACATATGCAAACATGAGTGTGTTTGTGTGTGTTTGCCTTAGTTACGACTGCAGTAAAAACTACATGGGTTAATAAAACATCATCTGATCTCCTAAACAGCATTACATCAACCCAGAGCTCATTTGTCACTGTCTGTTTTAAACTAAACAAATAAAGAGGAGAGTTCAGCAGGAAAAATCCTGTCAGCATTCACTCATCCTCATGCAAACTGGACAAAGAAGCACCATGAAGCTATTGATAAATTATCTTTACAGAATCATAACATTAAAGAATAACATTAGTAATCCATATGACTTATGCACTATATCATATTGCTTGAAAAGCTCTTAAATTCCTTTCATGTTCACTTATATTCTAGATTATCTTATTTAACACACTTAATTCAGATCATCATCTAAAATGGAGAGACTCTATGAACTGAACTGAGTGTGTCAGAGAAGAGAGACGTACAAAACGTGCAGAGCAGGGTCCCCAGGAGCAGGATTAATAACCGCTGGTCTAAGAGTATTTTCATGTCTCATATGTATTTTCACCTGCTGTTCCTCCAGATGTCCAGCAGGGCTCAGTGTCTCCTGACAGACCAACACTGGAACTGAGAGGCTTGCATTAAAAAAAAAAAAATAATAATAATAAAATTGATATAATTGTATAATTATTTGTATAATTATAACAATTATTAATTATTTGAATGGTTAATAATACATTAGGTTAATATTTTGACAATTATTTATTATTATTATTAGTCAAACATTTATTTTTACCACCCCAATTTGGATGTTTTTTTAAAATCAAGAATCTGTGATTTGTTAATTCCCTTAAACCTTTATTTGACAAAAGTACAAAGAAAATATTTCCAATGTTATCACTGACACACTTAAATGGATTTTGTAAATATAAACAAATTTTGATTTTGATGGCTGCAGCACACTAGCACATTCACTCTTTGTCTACAAAACCACGCTGTTGTAGTCCATGCAGGATGAGAACTGGCATCGCCTTGATCTAACAATCATGGATTTCCCATGATAGAAGCATTATATGTCTCTGTACAATCCCAATATATGCCAGTGGCATTACAGCAAAGAATGGCTTAGCTCTCAGTTAAGTTAACGGGGAAGTCGTGGCCTAATGGTTAGAGAGTCGGACTCATAACCCAAAGGTTGTGGGTTCGAGTCTCGTACCAGCAGGGATTGTAGGTGGGGGGGGTGAATGTACAGAGCTCTCTACCACCTTCAATACATGCGATTATTGCATCCAGCTGCCGCTGATTACAGCGTGAGTATAAGTAGGCAGACGGTGCAGCGCATATTTAGGTTTTCGCTGAGGAGCCGAGCCGGTGACCCGGCCGCTCAGCGGTGGTACAGAAGCTGTGGCGACGGGACGTGATGTCTCCGTTCCCTCCTTCAGGGAACGAGGGTTACATACGTAACCGAGACGTTCCCTTTCAGTCGGTCACTCTCGACGTCACGTCGGATGACCGACGAATTGGGATCCCTACCAAAGGGCCACAGATACTGCCCCTTCCAGTGTCCTGTGGAAGCCTCCTGCTCCCCTTCTTTTTGGCGTTGGCCGGGGCTTACCACAAGAAGACCAGCTACTGCTGCTATGGCACTATCCACTCAGTAAGACTGGATAACACTGGGAAAACTTACCCGTACCACTTGGGACAGGAACGTTGCGGAAGCCCCATCCTTCCCGAAGGAGGTTTCAGAAGCACTTACACATATGGACAAACGTTTAGGTGCATATGGAAGATTAGAGGTGATTGTAACCCTCTTGTAAAATAGCAGGAAGTCTGCCGGGGAAACACGGGCTCTGAGGCTATACCGTGGACTTTATACATATGGGATCCACTTAGGTCTCTACATATGGAACCCAGCCCTGTACCGATTCTCACGGATTCATCGAGTGAGGGCCTGGCACCGGACACTCTGCCACGTCTGGCTGCCGAGGGGATGGAGGAGCTCGACAGGGTCTACTATATGGACTCTCTGGAGTGGTTTTAGCAAGCCGACCCGAAGTCGGGGCCTCTCAGTGCTTCTACCCGTTTGAGGTGAGAACACAGGAGGATACCGGCTCCACACGAAGGCTATAGAATCTAGCGAACGGGTTGGGGGTCGCCCAGCCCGCAGCTCTACAGATATCTGACAGCGAGGCGCCACGAGCCAGCGCCCAGGAGGATGCAACACTTCTACTAGAGTGAGGTCGCAACTTAAACGGGCAGGATACACCCTGTGCATGATAAGCCAGGGTGATGGCATCCACTATGCAGTGGGCCATCCTCTGCTTAGAGACGGCATTCCCCTTCTGCCGGCCTCCATTACAGACAAAGATCTGGTCTTAGGTCCTGAAGCTTTGTGTCCTGTCTACATAGCATCTCAATGCTCGGACGGGGCAGCGCTTGCAAGTTCACCACCTGATCCCTGAAGGGAGTAGTGGGAACTTTGGGCACATAGGGCCTCAGGATTACCTGGGTGTCAGCTGGCCCAAACTCTAGGCACGAATCGTCGACCAAATATGCGTGCAGGTTCCCTACCCTCTTGATGGAGGCCAATGCGAGCAGGAGCAGAGTTTTCATTGACAGAAACTTCAGCTCGACTGACTGCAAAGGCTCAAATGGGCCCTGCTGTAGTGCTCTGAGCACTAGAGACAGGGCCCAAGAGGGTATAGAGGGGGGCCGTGGAGGATTTAGTCTTCTCGCCCCCCTAAGGATCCTGATGATCAGGTCATGCTTCCTCACTGACTTCCCTTCCACGGGGTCGTGGTTGGCAGCAATCACAGCCACGTAAACTTTAAGGGTGGAGGGAGACAGCCTTCGCTCCAACCCCTGCTGCTGAAAGGACAGCACAACTCTGATCAGACATTTCCGGGGGTCTTCTTGGTGAGAAGAACACCATTCGACGAACAGGTTCCACTTCAAGGTATAAGCGTGTCTCGTAGACGGTGCTCTCGACGAAGTGATGGTGTCAACTACCTCTTGGGGTAGGTCACCTAGAACCTCAGCGTCCTGTCCAGGGACCAGACATTAAGTTTCCAGAGGTCTGGACGCGGGTGCCACAGGGTACCCCGACTCTGAGTCAGTAGATTCTTTCCTCCTTCCTTCTTTCCTTGCCAAGGAGGGGCTGTCACAAGGAGCATCAGTTCCGGGAACCAAGTCCGAGGGGGCCAGTAAGGCGCTACGAGCAGGACCTGCTCCTCGTCCTCCCTGATCTTGCACAGTGTCTGTGCAAGTAAGCTCACTGGGGAAAACGCATACTTGTGAAGGCCCCGCGGCCAGCTGTGTGCCAATGCGTCCGTGCCGAATGTTCCCTCGGTCAGGAAGTAGAACAACTGGCAGTGAGAGGTTTCTGGAGAGGCAAACAGGTCTACCTGAGCGGCTCCGAAATG